TTTGGTTCAAAAGGTGTATAGGTTACATAATAGTGAAAAATACAGGAGGTGTTGCCATAAGACAAACCAGCCTGCAGAAAATATCAACAAATGATGATAACGGTGGTCGTGATTATTACATCTGCCATTACTATTATCATCATCACCTCTCCAACCATCATACCTTATCAGAAATCATTCAACTAGTCTGTCATACACTAAAATCAAAATTCTGTAAGCTTTTTTTCATCTTTCTTCAACTGATCGCACCGATATTTTGCCAATAATACAAAAAAAGAACAGCTCCCCCATTACGAAATCTTCTTCAGCTCTTCTCAGCGCAATGTACATGAAAACCTCAATCCAAATATTCAGGATATGACAAAAAATTTGCGGAGAGTTAAAACTCACCCTGAATCTTTCTTCTTTCCCACATCCTGACAAAAGCGGGTGTACCGCATCAAAGAAGGGGATACTCACTGCATAGAAACCGACCACGGTTGCAACATCTGAAAAGCACGGGACACGTCACATTAAATTAGGTAGGTAAGAACAGTCCTGGTGGTTGAAGCCAAAACTACTACCATCAACGACTTACATTTTGCAACCACGTTATCCAAAATTCCCATCACAATACGGAATTCCAGGAACTTTCTTAGGTGACTGGTCTGTAAATAAATTATTAGTAACGTCATTCTCATGATACACGGTTATAAGAATACACACACAGAGATTATTTTAAATCATACGATAATATTTATTTCAGCAAGGAGCATCACCACTGAGTTATAATTTGAAACACGCCTTGTAGCCGTACAGGAGGGTCCGTTAATGGTATTTAAAAGGCCACGTCATTATACAAACCAGCTTTTCAAATGATGCTAGAAGGGTTAACTTTTCTCGCTGGTTTCCATGGTAGAAGGCAACTTCTTCAGAATTTGTTATGAGACGAGAATTGATGTAACGAAATTCTCCTTCTAACTTCTGTTCGGTAACCGTCATCCGTGCAATTGGTCGACGCAGGTACGTCAAGAACCACCCTGCGATCATGAGGTACACGATCAGGAGAGATGGCGTCTGCGGGCAAACAGATTTGATATGAAGTCGTCTGAATATATTATATGACAAACAACAACATTATTGAGATTATTTTGACACCAATTAACTTTCACATTTTGCTTATCATATTCCTAGTTAATTCCTTTAAGAGAACTGTAAGACAGCTGTGCTCTGTGGTACAGAGATTTTAATTTGCTGTCTCATTTTAGGTAAGTGAGACATCAGCCCTAATTAATCTGATCTTTTCAGAAATATGAAATCATTATGGAATCTGAAGATTCAACATCAAATATGTAAAACGTAACTTCCAGCTTTTATATTACAAACTTTTCTTTACATAATAAGGAGCAATAATCAACAATAACGACAGATACATTTTTAAAACCCAAACCAAAACATGAACATGGCCGTGGGATCAAGAAGTTATCACTCCTGAACCGTATTCACAGGGTTTCAGATTCAAATCTCAGCCCAGAGACCAGCTGTCCTGACCGAAGTCTTTTACGGTCTCCTCACTTCCTCCAGGAAAGTGTTCGGGTAGTACGCTGAATTAGGCCATGACCACTTCCTTCCATATCCTTTTCAATTAATTAATCATCCTATCCTTTAAAGCCACACAGTCTAGGCTACTGAATGTTGTTAGAACAAACCACGAGTAATAACCGACAGAATATTAAATTTACTGCACACACGTCTTATTTTTAATAAATACGCGATTAAATGTTGGGACTAAAACAGCAGCCAAGGCTCAAATTGAGCTGGATATCAAGACAGAGCTTGGAAAAACTTGATACCTACTTAGCAGAGAAACGGCAAACGACCCAGACTTGTTTTGAATCCGTTCGACCATTTTATTTGGAAATCATTCCCACTTTTGTTATTAATCACAGCATTTTTTTGGATGTACGATATACGCAAACTCACCTTTCCTCCCAATTGTGTGGTAAGCCTATACACATATATGACAATGTCAAGGAGTGGTTTGCTGATGTTCGAGTATAAGTCTGTCACAGTATCGCAAAACTTGTCGACGTCTGTCGTAAGCAGCTGATCTGCATTTGCTATACGGTTGTCCAAATTGCTCATCTTGTAATATGTAAAGCCCCTGTCGAAACGTAAAACAACAAATTAATTTATTATTCATAGAAAGAATTTCTGGTAACATCTTCTACTTAAATGTCGATCTCCTCGTTTCAACCTTCTTAAACTATTGACGTTACGACAACAGAATGTCATGGTGAGATAACTGTTACATGCACGCTGGAAAAAATAGCACATAAAACTTGTGGAGATGCAAAAGAAGGTGTACACGGACGAGAACACGTATGTTCCAGATATAACTAGTGTTGGGACTTCAAATTTTGAAGTATCTTAGAATGCAGTCACGTTACTTACTTGAGATATTGGTCATACAGGTACCGAGTCAATCTTGTCCTGAATCGAAGTTTCACTTCTCCGATACTGTACTGAAAGCAGCATTAAAGAATAAAAATATTAAACGCCACACACATCCCTAATATAAAGCTTTCCCAGAATATGTATAATAGCAAAGTTAGATTAAAATCTGGTGCAAAAATAGTATCAAGCAACTATGAAACGTAAGCGCCTCCTTATCGTAAACTCGGTTGTACGGAGAGAAATACAGATACACATTTTCAAGTAAATAAGTTAAAGAAATCGAGTTTTGTTCGCTGTCCACGACATTATTAATTTCTTTCTGCAGCGCTCGACTAAGGAATAAATAGCGGATGTGACAAGCGGTAAAGGAAAGGTTGCCAACCCCTGTATTAAGTAATGCGGCATGCGCACACAGTTCATAAAACTACCACAAACATATGTAATGAAAATAAACTTACTTTTAATAAATTATTCACCAAAGACATCTGAAAACAAAATAGATAAAGATGAAACTAAAAATCCTCAACAAATATTCTTATAAAATGCATATTAAACCCTCACAGGCTTCTTAAATTGTGCCCTCTTGTGCGTATGGCCACTTTCGAATGGCAGAAACACTAATGAAAAACAGACATGATGATGAAGTGACTGATATTTATGTTGATACGTTAGCCGAACTGTAAATCTATGAATTAAAATTCATCTTGCGTAACTGATTTTTTTTATACAACCTCATTTTCCATACATACTAAAAACTGTAATACACAAATCGTTATCACAATATTTTAAAGCAAAAATACTTCAATCAGACTCTGAATTACACTGAGCCACTATTCGTCTACATCAGATATTTTTTTACAATATTAAGTAACTTACCACAGGCATTGCAGATACAAAAACCAACATTTCTGACATGAACATTTTTCTATCTGTGTTCACAATTGCACTGGAAAAAAGAAAAAAAGAAAAACTTTGTTGCAGAAGACAAATATTTGCAGAGTACCGCTATAGATTACATGAGAGATATTTATTAAGAATAATCCTAAATGTTTATACCACTGTACATCCTGTATGACAATAAAATAATTACCATAAAAGTTAAATATTAAAGTGAAAAGTTAATATAAATAGCAAATCCATAAATGTGTAAAAGAAAATTAGGTACTTGTGGGTTTTCGGGACACATCATTTTAAAAATAGGTTACGTTAGGTTAATGTGTGTGGATAAATGACATATACTTGAAAGTAATTATATTTTATTTCAATAAATGACAACTAACCTAACCCAACCTAACCTAACCTAAACTAACCCAACCTAACCTAACCTAAACTAACCTAACCTAAAGTAACCTAACCCAACCCAACCCAACCTAACCTAATCTAACCTAACCTAAACTAAACTAACCTAACCTATTTTTAAAGCGACGTGTCCCGATAACCCACAAGTACCGAAAATTAAGTAATAGGCCCATGTGAACCTGTTTCAAATGGTAAGTTGGTAGCATTGTTAATAAAATGCAATGAAGTTGTAATAAAGCGTCTTCATTCATAGCTTGACAGCCCAAGGTTGATAAGTGGGCCCCATTTTAAATGACTGAGAACCCCTGCAACAAAACTACAAACAAACTTACTTTTCTATGTAGGTACAAGTGCGAATAAACCATAGATCGCATAGAGAACGAGCTATGAGAGCTACAGCAACAAGAAACAAAAACCCAGTCTCTGATGACAATGGACCCGGGATCACGATCGAGAGAAGGTAACGCAACTGACCAAAGAAGACAGCATCCACGCGCGCTTTTGTTTTCTGTGGAGATTTCTGAAAAAGCATATATTAAGTATCGTAAAACATGGTAGCTGTACACGGGTCATATTTATACAAAAATTATCTGCTTCTATCATTTTAACATCCTTCAGCGAAGTAATTATTAAAAACACACAAATATTCGTAATGCGTTGCCCTTAGAACCGAAATAACACGATGAGAACTGGGATTACACTGGTGACATCAGCTGATATGAATAAATCAATATGATACAATAGCTGGAGAAAGAAATCAACATTGACAGTAACCAGGGTGTTGATACGCGAGCTATTGTATAATTTCTTGGTATCACACTACGTCACGTTTGTTCAAGAGCAATAAAACAACTCCACTATTTACAGAACATCTGGGCAGACATTTCAGCTCATTATTCGGAAAAAAAAATAGAAAGATAAATGGTACGAATAACGCACCACACTAAGCACAAGTGTCGTGTATTATACGTAAATTTGAATTTCTGGTCAGTAGGTATATTAAAATACATGCATAAAAACTTCAGTATTCATTAAATTTTTATTTTGGTCAACTATAAAACAAATTCAGAGTACTGTAGTATAAAATGCACAATTTTACTATTCCAATATATTTTAATTTATTAAAAATCATGCCAAAAAAAAAAAATGGGAACTGTTACACTCCTGTAACTTACGACTGTAGTGTTATTAATTTTGAACACAAAAAACAGAAGGGGGAAAATTTGAACTCCAGAGAGTAACAAACCATTCTGTTATTGTTAAAAACAATTCAAGTACAAGCGTCATCTTGCTAATAATAAATAAACAAGCCTAACCACCACACCATAAAGATATATATATGGAGTGCAGGTAAAACCTCGTCATTGGACAGAGGTTATTCCTCTCAGAAAATGTACGAGTGAATATGAAGCAGTGGTGGGACGATACTGAAAAGAAAAACCCAAAAACGTGTCCCAGTGCCACTTTGTCCACCAAAAATTTCAAACCGACCGCCCTGGACATGAATCTAGGTCCCCCATGGTGAAAAGATGGTGATAATCACAAGAGCTATCGCTCAGCGTTACATGGAGGTCAATGTTTACTTTCATACTCCCAAGAAAGAACCTCCAACACATTAGATATGAAATAAACAGACACGTTCCCTGTATTATGTAATACATCTAAATGGACACAACTAATATAGCGTCACTAATAAAGTTAAAGAGTCTTCAAGGATAATTTCAAGAGAATGGCCAATAACTGTATATTATATGTGTGAAATTCATGTTTGGCTTCATTATCTGATGCTTCAGCATGACTCGGAAAATCTTGGCAGGAATTAATTCGTTTAAACGGTGAATTCATCCCTTGGGGATGTCGGTAGCTTAATAATTTACCAAAAGCAGTCATGATACAACGATGTCCTTTTCGATGATAGCCCTGATGATGGAGGCAGGAAACATCTCTGAAATGGTGGTAAACTTGTACCAGATTATATGGAGCAAAGAATGTTTTCTGAATTTCCAAATCAAATATCAAGTTCATTTTATACAAGAAAGAGCAAAGCTAAAAGTGTCAATTTTTTTTGGTCCCGCAGAGAATATATATTTTTAATAGTGGTAGCTTTATAAATGGATGAACATATCTCCCACTAAGCTTTCATGGAAAGGATTTCATTATAGACTGTTCCCAATTTTTGCATTGACTAGATAATTTGGTTTTTAAATTCTGTTATGTTCTTGGGTTTTCTGAAAAGTCACTAACATGTTAAAATTCAGGTTTTTCACATAAAGGGGCACTAAAATGTAAAGAAAATTATGAGATGAAAAATTACAGACATTTCTTTGCATCGAAGATGGCTGTCTTCTGGGTTGCTGCACCGTGTAGTCCCGTAGTTTACCAAAATTTCACTTAATGCCCTGATGACAGAGGCAGCAAGGACCTCTGAAAGTGGTAAACTTCTACCTGACTTCACGGCACTACAACCCACAAGAAACACATCTTCATATTCATTGCCATGAAAATTTTGTATCCAAGACCATTATTTAAGTTGCAAATATTATGATTTCTTATAATTTAATGATAAATTTAAATAATGGGGGAGGGGGGAGAAAGTAACAAAGTAACTGAACTAAAAGAGAAAAGTAACTTACTTCACCAACTACATACTGGATTTCACTGTGTACAGGCTTTCTGAAAAATAAATAAATTTATGTGTAAGAAAGTAAAAATTAACAAATATTTATAGAACTACGAAAATATTAATCGGTTTCCACTCGTTATACCGAAGTAAATTTCTGCAGCCTACTGAAAACTTGAAAGGACCGACTACTCTTTACCAAGTACTGATAAAATTTCAGTAAAACCAATCCAAGTACAATGTTCCAATTTATTGTAAGATCCACAAACCTATTTCATTTCATTTGGAATAAGAAATAATTGTTCCAGTACTGAAGAGAATCAGTTATTACACCTACATGTAACAATGGTGATAAACCTGCAGTAATTACTGATGAATATCACTCTTATCAACTTTATACAAAAGCTATTATTCAATAAAGTTCAAATCCATAAGTAGATTAAATTACTGGGGCTCATCAGTGTGGACTCTTGACATAACAAATCAACTACTGATAAGATATGCATTCATCAAACACTTAAGAAAAAACAGAGAAGTGCATACAATATTTACAGAACTATAATTTTCCCTTTTTTCTTGTATGGGTGTGAAACTTGGTCTCTCACATTAAAGATAGACCTCAGGCTGTGGTTAATTGAAAACAAAGGGCTGAGAAGTATATTTGTATCTATAGGAGTGGAACAGGAGGTTAGAAAAAATCGTATGAGTAGCCTCATAAGATATATGCTTTTGACCAAACATTATTTGGGTGATAATCTCAAAGCAGGGTGAGACGAGACTGACATGTAGCAAGATTGGTAAAGATGACTTGCATGCAAAATGTTATTCTGCAAATCATAAGGGAACAAATCTCTTGCAGGAAACATGCACATATGCGAGAACATAATTAAAATAACTACACAGACATAACCTTACCTTATTATTTTATTCTGCTTTTTTCGCATACGAAGTAACCAATACAGAAAAGAAACTGACAGCGCTCCCGCGACATTTCTCTTCGTAACAAATTTACTTAACGTTGGTGCCATTGTTAAACTTGATTTACCTGTAACACTAACTTATTCTATCACAATACACCAACAATTCTACTAAAATAATTATCATTAATAACAAACACAAACTACTACAGCCAGCCACAACTTCACCACTAAAACTGACTACGTAACATTACTTTGCATTACGAAATTGCACTATGACCGTGATCAGGCACACCAACACCGAAACAAAGCAAAACACTGTACCCAACGGCCGAAAACAGATTTTAGAGTAGGATGTGTTCAATTGCCGTAGGTCTTTTATAAGCATAAGCTACGGATGTAGAACTTGTTTCTTTGCTTAAATCCTGTGGTCTGTTATACCACAATGTCCTTGAATTTCACAGTACATGTTATGTTTACATTTGAATGTCAGTTTTAATTACTGTTAAGCTAGTACAAGGTATTTTACACCTTGATTATTTAAGCGTGGATGTATGTAAACCTTAGAGTTGGTGACGAGGTAGTTTAAGGTTATGATAGTCTGCAGTATAACGTACAGGACGAGCCCAAATTTTGTAAGTTGTTCCTGGGCCCCCAGAAGCATGATAATGTGAATCACTATGCTAGTGCTTTATATTTGAAGGTCTCTTATGTTGCTGTTGATCCCAGAATGGACTTACGTCATGTTTAATGAAATTGTGTGTAATATTGATGTCTGGACTACAGATGAACAGAAATACAGAATGATCACTAACATTCTCAAAAACGAACCTTTATTTTGAAACTTACAGTTGCTAACTACATAACTTCAAAGTAATACAGTTAGATGCTGCCTTCTTACTGTGGAGTCCCAGGTTCAATACCATCAGATTTCAAAGTGTGATTCTTGGTGGATGAAGTAGCACTGTGGCAGGTTCTTCTATTTTTCAAATTTTCCCTTGCTAATGATCATTGCTCCATACTCATGTATCAATACCCCATGAGGTGTGCAATGGCCCCAACCAAGCAGCACATTATTATACGTTTGGGGCTTTATATCCGACTGGTACTTGGCTGGTCCCAAAAGGATCAGAATTCTGGCTATTGTTTGAAGAATGCAAACTCAGCATTGTTCCTGTCTTTAAGAAATCATGTAAAATAAATCCATTGATACTATTATTTATTGTATCTCAATTCTCTTATTTAATTATACATTCAGTCACATCACTTTAGTACTTAATAAATGACAAAATATTGTGTAATTAATTATCAAAACACACAGTGTTCTCATTGGCTGATACACTGAATGTTATTAAAAAGCATACAGTAGCATGATCTAGATCAGGTCAGCTTTTTTATCCACCAATAGTCTACTTAACCTTCATAGAACAGTACTTAAACTCACTCATGAGAAAATATTTCAAACGCTAAGCAAGAGTTGCAACAAACCTACAAGATAATATTAAATTACATTACATCTACAAATCGACAACGTGAGAAAGCTGTCGACTCTTACTAATTCCGATGATCAGAGCTCTTCCTGAGGAGCTAATAGTTGCTCAGCTAGTTAAAAGTGCCTGTCTTTTTTTTTGTGTGTGGAATCCCTTGTAATCTGTCTGCAACTGCGTATTAAAATATTTATATACATTTTTTTTCAACTCTCACACAAAATAAAAATGAAGTTTTTAGGAACATAAATCATCAGTGAACATACATAATAACTAATACAATAACACCCAATCACCAAGTCTATTACGTTAAAAATCTATTTCACAATGAAATATATTTGCATCTTAGAAGGTAGATTAATTGGATGATAGATTCTGTGGAGATGGATTAGAAGTTTTTTGATGAGTTTTATAATTTCATACTTTCTCTTACCTTTTAACATTCCAAACTTGAAGTTTTAACACTTTTTTTTAAACATACTTATAAATTATATTATGTACGAAGTACCAAGTATTTAAAACTGAGACAACTTTAATAGAAAAAAAACATTTCATAAGGCCCTAGAATTCATCTTAAAGACCTACTCTAAATTATATCAAACAGAATTTTGTCCTGTTTCCTCCTCAAATAAAAATAGTCTTATATCAAAGGCAAAAACAGAAGTATAAATATTTAGAAGGCACACAGACTACTTGTATGTATCTCCATATTGTTAATATATCTACGAAGCATTGTCTATCACATACTCAAAGATGTTATATAACATGTATTGATGTATGTTAATCTCAAGGCTGCCATTGTTACCTTCAATGCGTTTCGCTTCGTCACATAAAATTCCCCCTTGATAAAACAGCAAATATTAAAGATTCATTGTTACTGACTAGCTACATTCTTTACCCAAAATTCTAAACCCCAATACAGCAAGGATAAATTTTTGATATCACAGTTGCTGGACTTTAATATAAGCTCATTAATACAATATCACACTAAGAGTACATTACTTGCATAATATTTTCATCGCTTATTTCGACCCTTCATAGTAAAACGCCGCCAAAAGCTTGTCTTCTTATTGGTTCCTGATTCCGTCTCGTATATATCCTCGTCGTCGTCGTAGTCTCCAATTCTGTTACTAGATGACTCTCGTGTTGGCGAACCATGGCCAGAGTCTTCGTCATCGTTGATAAACCTACCACTAGGTGTGCTGTTAGTGCTGCCACCTCGTAGCATATCTAGGAAATTCGATTCAGCAGATGCTTTCTTCCCAGTCTTCTGGGAAGGCGTTCCAAAACTCAGACTTTGAATATTTATTTCTGCTTTCAATTGCTCAGGAGAAATATCTTCCACTCTAAATTCATTAGGATCTTCAACAAAAGCTTGCTGTAAATCTCTCATTATCTTCTTCCGAATGGTTTTCTTCATTGACAGGTGCCGTTCTAAATGTTTTACGTCCTTCTCTGTCAGAGTTCTCGAATTATCACGTCTAGAACGTTGCTTTTTCTTTTTATTATTAGTTGGTGCCTGAACTCTTGGAGTTTCATCTTCGCTTGTCGAACCAACAGATATAGCACTGTCATTTCCAGCAGACGAAGATCCTGGAAGCCTATCTTTGCTACCGTCATTTGACAGTTTCATATCCTGAAATTTCGTTAGCGTTTGTTGTGTAATATCTTCATTGTTGCGAGGTGTTTGACTGTTCCAGTTGCCATGGAAACCAAATATGTCTCGCAGATGTGGAATATTCCGTTCTGGCTGCTGACGTGACATTTTGGTGACACCGTCAAAACACTAATTATCTGAAACAGATAAAGGTGAAGAGATTTGTAAATCGAAGTTTGTTACATATACACTTTAGTACTTGGTCGTGATTGAGTATTAGCAGACAAAGCTTACATCTGAACTATCCCCCGATTTTCTCAACAATAAATACATACCAATGTTAACGAAATATGATGAAACTACGTGCAATTAATAGCCCTGTTAAATGCAAATTTCGCGCGATCGCCATGTTGTCATCACAGCAATTAAAACAGCACGGGGTTGTTGCGCCTTCTAATGACATAACAGTCATACCACGTTTTGCAAAAACTGAGGATCTGGTTAGAAATCTGAACAGGGGGGGGGGGTTTACAGACATCATGGTAATCTCATACGACTACTTCCTTTATGAAATTAAAGTTCGCCAAAAATAAATTGTAAAGCGTTTGTGTAATCGCCACATTGTTGTCAAGGAAACAATAATGAAAGGGATATTTGGACGCTAAGACCACCACACATAACCCTACAAAGAGGAAAAGTTCGACAGCAGAATTAAAATAGCGGATTGATGGCCAATGATACAAGGAAATTACATTGACCCTCACTTCACAACAGGTTTGACAAGTTGCTCTAGCTAGTGTAACGTTGGAACAAACGACAGCAGATTACAAAGTCTGTATCGACATCAGCGCTATCAGTGGTGGCTTCCTCACACCAAACAAGGTCGTTAACAGAACAATGCCATTGCAGCAATCTGTAACGTAACGTAACGTAACGTAACCTTCTCTGTGTTCTCCGACATATAAAAATGAGGCGGGGGGAGGGTTGATACGACACGCTCTGAATGTGCACATGTAACATCGGATTGAACACCGCCACATAATATTTTTGGACTGGTTAATACCTGCCTTGCCGTCCCGTTGAATAAACCAAGCCGTGACGAACTGAGCCAATCCCTACTGACGGGTGCAGACGCCAAGTAACTGACTTAAGCAATAGGTTTATAAAATGAATGGAAAAAAGGTAATGAACGTATTTCTATGAAATTTATAACTGAGATTATGCACCAAATGTTTTCGGCCGAACTTCTTATGGCCCAACATGCAATTCACATCGAGTTCAAATCTAACAAGAGTGGTTTTCTGCGGAGGATGATATAATAAAACATTACCGTAAAAAAAAGCAGGCATAATTACGTCACATAAACGAAAATATAGGTCGCTCACTTCAACAACACATTTAGTCTAAATGGTGAATATTAAACAAATCAAAACTCACATCAAGTGGAAACGTCTTATAGAGAATGACTCCGTACAGAGTGATTACGATGATGATGAACTGTAGGGGCACGAAAGGAAGTGGTTTGGGCGGGATTGAAGGTGCTATATTTCTGGAGAGACCAAGGAAAACCACTGCACAAGATATTTTTACTTTTTATCAACAGTCGATCTCTGGGGCAAAATTTGCAGAGTACGAAGCAAGAATGATAACCACTCGACCGGTTCACACCGGTCATGTTTGTGTGTCTGTCTGTAGAGTTTTTCGTAGAGACTGGGCAATTCAGATGACCCGTAGTCATTGTTGGAACATATTACTGAAATGCAAATCGTGTTCATTGTTGGTTCACAATGACCTCGGTTCATATTATCGCCTGACCATCGAGTAATAGTGATCTAAGTCCACAGTTCCTTTGAGCTTATCAATAAAGGAATCTGGTGACGTAAATGCCAGTGTTGTGTAATGTCTACGTAGATTTTTACAATATTGAACTCTTATTTATTTTTGGGAACGAGGTTTAAAAAAAAAAATCTCTGAGCAGTGAAGATGAAACAGCAGTGTCGTCATGTCCAATTATAAGAAAGGAAAGTATTCAAATCATACTTCTTTCACTCTGAGCTGAGAAACGAGCCGTGAAAATGGTTTTCTGTTGGAACTGATACTGACAGGCTCATATAAAACCAAAGTTAACAATGAAGCAGACGCCAAGACCAACATCGTCATCTTCGCTGACATAAAAACGACAAATGCGACAAGTTTTTCGTACTTTTACTCAGTTCTTGTAGTAGTAATCCGTCGATTTATCGATCTATGTAAAATTATCGATCGACTTAAAATTGTAACCAGCTGTCAATCTTAAGGCATTTACTGTGTCGTGTGTAGGGGACCTCGATTCCAAACGACGCCTTTCTTGGCCTGACCGTGTTTTTGCTGAACACGCAGACAGCTCGAAAACTCGCTGAGTCAGACGTGAAAGTAACGGCTAAGCAACAATCGATAGTCAAATTCAATTTGAATTTCCTTCTCAACACAATACGCTGACATCTGTTGTCTGTTGTCTGAACTCGAACAGTTCTTGAAAGGAAAGAAACATATTACGCCAGATTAAGGAATTAACACAGTTTCAAAGCATTTGGGAGCACAGAAAGATATCATACGGACCTCGGAGAGAAATTCTATCATTAGGAGCTTCGTAACGCGTCAGATTCACTTTGTACTGTCAGTGGAACAAGACAAGAGATGAGTTTAGACGGGCATACGCACTGCGTTCACTGATAAAATTGAACGCACTGTATAAATACGACATTTTACATGAAAAACTTTAAAAGTAAGAGACCAGTTGGATGAATTTTCGTAGAAATGATGATAATATTAAAGCTGATATTGAAGAAATAATAAGTCGATCTATGTAATGTTAAAGTGTTGTGTTTTCTTTGCGGTACGGACTGAATTGTTAAACATTATTCAGACAAGCTTTAGCTTAAAAAGGGTTACAATTCACAGAAAACCATAATTTATGCCTACATCCAGATTAATATATGTACTGTTTTTCCAGTAGATTAATTATTATTCTTAACTCAATCATCTCTTAAGTCTGTGTCTCGATCAACAATAGAAGTAACTCAAGCGACCATCAAAACCAGTGAGGGGTTAAGAATTACAATTGAAACACGCCATTTTTTAGACACACTGGCCCCTCGATCATTCTCGTCTCCTGTTGACTTAGACCTGGTCCTGTTAATAGCAGGACCTTTAGAATACGTAATGCACTTTAACAACCTTCAGTGTGAAGGCAAGGGAGAGGTAGTTGGAAAGAACGGACCAAAACTGTAACAAAAACAATGAACCTAATGTGACTTTCGCTATTGGAATATATCAAAGTGGCACAAGGTTGAATTAACAAGAAACTAATCCACAGTTTATTCGTGTAGTAAGATACGTAAGATTATCCATAATTTTGGTTAGACAGCGATTAACCCTTTTTTTTAAAAACCCGTGGTAACTATATGTACCATCTGGTTTAACAACCAGTAACATTAAATTCTGCCCACAGAGTGTATTAATGTATTTCGTATGATTCTCACTGTAATCAGCGATTATTTCGTTAAACAACGTTAACCAGTTGATCTGTGTAATGGTGAAGAGTTGTGTTTTCTTCGCGGTACGGACTGAATTCTTAAATATTATGTACGCAGCGCGTGTCTCATTATAAACAGCGATTATTTCCTTAAACAGCGTTAACCAATCGATCTTTGTAATGGTGAAGTGTAGTGTTTTCTTCGCGGTACGGACTAGATGTTTAAATATTATGTACGCAGCGCGTGTCTCATTATAAACAGCGATTATTTCCTTAAACAGCGTTAACCAATCGATCTTTGTAATGGTGAAGTGTAGTGTTTTCTTCGCGGTACGGACTAGATGTTTAAATATTATGTACGCAGCGCGTGTCTCATTATAAACAGCGATTATTTCCTTAAACAGCGTTAACCATTTGATCTTTGTAATGGTGAAGTGTGGTGTTTTCTTCGCGGTACGGACTGAATTCTTAAATAAATATTTAGACGAACTTCGGAACCGCACTGTTTTGACCCGGCTACTATAATTTTATTTATCCACACAGAAAAAATAAACTTTTTATATAATTCTGAATTTTAGGGGAAAAAAAATATATGCCGATGATAATTCATCGTTAAACAAACCACGTTCCTAAAATTTCCATCGGTGGGGGAAAGCCGTTTCCTTTCCAACACCTTCCCGCTTACGAATTATCGTCTTATTTCATTTGAGACTAATCTTTGCAGTTGATAAAGCGTCATTAATTCCTGCAGGCACCGATTATTTATATCTGTCGAGTGCAGGCTTACCGCGCCACACTTTCACCTGTCTGCTAATTATTTGCGTAACGGAGACTGGTACTGCACGTTCGATGCCAAGAAGGGGCTACTTTTTTCTGCGAAGGCAAGAAAATCAGCAGTGAGCGAAGCAGAACATTTGACGGGACTTCGTAAGCCAAACATCGCTTATGTCCACCGTGTCTTATTAATGGCATCACCAGTGATGGAAGGAAAAACGCTAATGAAAATGTGATTAGTCATCAAATAGTTCCGGTTTCGTTCATGATTTACCACAGCATTCGGTAATCCGTTTGATTATTCCTGATTCCTCTATTCAACTTTCTCCGAAAGCGTAAAATTTGGTGGGTGACGGTTTCCATCAAAATTTTTTTCTCTCCAAAGTTTGATACTCGTGGAGTGAACACTACGTTAAAAAAATGTTTCACTCTTAATAAGTGAGAACTACACTTCCCGCTTCGAAATCCTAACATATCTGACCAAAAAAACATATTCCCTATCACAGAAGCATTGTATGACCGAATAAAGTCGACATAAATAGACTTTTATATAACAATAATACGATATATTGCAGAATTATCTCTGCAAATCGTATTGACATTTATAAAAAAAATTCTTTACAAACTAAATTGAATGTATAAATATGTCTCCACGGCTACAGAAGCGAAATTCCTCCCCAAACGCGGACGCCGCCAGGCTCCACCGTAGGCACCAACAGAGGGTCCATCGGGAACCTTTTGACTGTCTGTGGGCTCCCGTGTATGCCTCAAAACTACCAGACCTCCACGTAAGATGAAAATGACATCACCAGGTCCTTGATGGAGGTATGAAACATCTCTGAAACGTCGGTTAAACTCTACAACCCACACTCGTATTTGTGAGAACATGAAATTTAAAGAAGGGCGAAT